CCGTTTGTCCGCTCGAGTGAAAAGTGCCGCTCGTGGAGGTGACGTTGACGCAACAAGAGGAAAGATTCGGCTCGATACGCGTATCGAGCAAGTTTGCAACATCGCGTAGCCCATTATACGTATACGTGGTTTCTCGTTTGCTCGACTGTCGTAGCTGAAGGGTGGTGGCGGTGTTCGCAACAGCCCGGTGCGCTGGTGTGATCGCGCGTACACGTTACCATGTGTGTATGCATTTACGTGCTATGTTGCCAATGATTTATGTATACCGCTAATTACCAGCATGCACTGCACTGTTTTATCCGGCGATCATAGTTTTATTAGGCCAACCTGTGCACTGCGGTATTGTCAGCGCCAAAAGCACCGCTGGTGAACAATCCGTGCCGGCTGCGTGAAATGTGCCACGTTCACGACCTGCCTCGATCGATTAACGTTTCGCGCAAAGATTTCTAGTTATCGAGATTTCGATCGTGGCGAGCCTCGTCGTTGAAAAATTCATCCATGATCGAATCAAGTTAGCCCCTAACGAGTCTAGCTCGAGTTTCGTCCAAACATGAATACCACGAGCCAGACTCGCCTAGAGAAGGTCGGCCCAAACGTAAACATCACGAGCCAGGCTCGCGGACAGTAAATCACGATCGTGATTGAGTTTTAGTTCTTATCAGTACGCTACAAGACTCGGTCACGATTCTTATAATCTCCGTTACAAAGTAGTTTAGCATCAGTCTGGTCTGTTTACTTCACGTTTACGCCTACCGTTTGGGTCCGGATTTCCTCGAGCTAAATGCCACAGGTAGTAGTTAACAATAATTCTAGGTTCTGATAGCTTTCTTTAGTCGCAGACCGTTAATACGGATACCCTGTCAGTTTACTTTTGTTTCTTTTTATATCGGAAATCATTTTCGATTCGACCAAATAAAAAGTTGATGTCTGGTTTCATTTGATTGTTTATCCTCGAACCGTATGATACGCGTACAGTGCGCGGCCCGCTTTTTCCTTCGTACCACTGGACCGTCGTAACGTTTTATTTCATGTATCTTCGATTCAGCTATGTCCTGTGCCGAACCTGTTGCCATTTCACCGCAATGCTCGATTTCTATCGGTTATCGCGTTCCGTTAAACTCGAACAATTTTTTCCTGGGATTATTATGCACAAGTAATTGCTGTATTCGTTGTACGTCACGATTAGACAATAGTAATAATCGTAACGTACGGTTCTTCTTTCGTTTGGCACCCCACATTCATCTACTGAAAAATAATTTAATTTTTTAATATTCTTATCGAGTACACGAGCCATGCAGCACGATGATTTTGGTATGAATGGAAGCTCGTTACGACAGTGGCATGAAACTCTCGATTTCCTGCAAACTGGCCATGGCCGTGCCGTGGCGTGGCGTTCCACCAGAACATCCAACACGATCGTTCAAGTAATTCGATCCTACAACGTGTCACGCGTTTCATTTATAATCGCACCGGAACGTCTATTAACGCGAGTTTGTGTGCTGTGCGAAGTAGAGTGGAGCGTTGGTGCGTGCGCGGAGTTGCTCTCGAAGGTAGTTTCGGCGAAGGGGATGGAAACGGAACGGAACGGAACGGAACGGAACGGAACGGAACGGAACGGAACAGGCTAGCTAAAAAGGGGTGTAGACGGAGGAGAGAGGGCTCGGTAAAGGGTAGCGCGGGGCGGACGAGGACTATCGCTGTCGCTACCGGAGCCGGCAATGCGAGTCTAGGTTATCCGGTGACAAAGCTGGTTCGGTTCGTGCAACGAGGCTCCCCAGTACGTCGGATTATCACCATTGAAAATGGTGCAACTGAATCCCCACTGTTCGGATGCAGCGGCGCTTGAACGCGATACGCGGTAAGCTTTGCATCGAAAACCAGAAGCGAATTCCTTGTCTGTCGCGCGTTTATTGACGATCACAAAACTTCCATCCGGTGTTGTTTTCCTCGATGGTTGAAATTTTCCCTTCGATCGATGTTTTTGATATACGATTACAGGTGACCGTTCCGAGGCTCGCTACGGGGTTCTTCGTTGGCGTCCGAGCCAATTCCTCGCCGGTTAAATGTAAACAGTTATCGAGAACGTCCGGTGTTAGAAACGGTGGCCGAAATCTCGTGGTTTTTCGATCACCGCGGATAGATAGAAACGACTCGTCGGATTCTTCCAAAGCACTAAAGTCGGATGGTCGGTGAACGAGGTAAGGCGAACCACCCTCCAGAGGGTTGTAGCTAAATTGGCGGCAGTATATTACCGGTCAGACTCCCGCATTTAATTTGAATATAATCGTGGAAGGAGATCTCAGGAGCTCGGGGGCACTACGCGACGCAGAACTGCGTGACGGTGACCGGAAGTGGTCCCGGGACACCGGAAACAAAATGGCCGCTCCCTTCTACGCGACTCGCCTCGTTCCACTCTCCACGACCTTCCTACGTACCTACGCCTCTCCTTGCTACCCCCCTAAAGAGCGTGAATTCGTAACGCGAACTTCACTTTGCATTGTGTGACTTCGCGGTGGTCTCGTTCGAACATCGAAACACTCGCCCGTTTTATCGTTCAACGCGTTCCCTGTCACGACAGTTTTCCCTCTCTGGGTATAACGAATACAAATACTCGATAGTTCGATCGACTACTTCCTTTTTTTCTAGCCAATTACCATTATACGTATTTATAGTTCGCCGTTTGGCGTGTCGTGAAAGAAAGACCGGAAGCTTATTCGGGAACGTTTCTAATAACGTCCGTATCGTTGCTTACATATGCAACTTTCGTACACGACCGAGGGAGTTTAATGATTTTCGAGTAATTACGAGGCCAGGCGATGACTCGCGTGGGAATGCAGCAGGGCAGCGTGTTCGATAAGCGCCACGGAACAATAACAATTAAACCGGCCCAACTTGTAATGCCTAAATACAATATAAGCACGAACAACGAACTACCGCGAGGGTGAAGATATATGCCAGCTTCAACAATGCCGCTGTGCTTTAGGTAGACAAAAGACGGGTTTGAAGTTTCGTCGGTTAAATCGCAAGTTGAAAAAGCTTAGGCGTTTAACGTTCCCTTCCGAGTTTCTTGAGACGTTTAAACAACTTTAACTGCCGCTCATCCGTCTATCGTGAAATCTTCGAAAAGTATCGCTCTCGGAAAGGGGATAATCTCTTTTAAAAATGGGCTGTAAAAAAGACAGAAGGTCGAAGGTTACTCGTAACGTAACATCGAGGCCACGATGACGACAACTTAAAAAGGGCGTATAATTTTTGCTAATTCCATCGATGACTTTTACGAATACCGTAAATTCGACGGACATACCTGTTAATGGATAAACGGAGTTCTTTTATCGGCACGTACATCTCGGTAGGCGAAACTACATGCGAGAGAAGAGAGCGATCGAGAGCGATCGAGAGCGAGCAAGAGAGAAGGAGGCCTGCCCTTACGAGTTTACGATGTACGACTCGGCTTAGGAGCGTATGATTAAACAACTCAGGTGTTTTATGCTTGGCTCGTGGAGATCGCGTGACCCAACGGCCACATCCGTTTCCGTTTTACCTACGGTCAACCGCTTCGACCCCTAACCGATGGTTCGCCTTAAGGGCTGCACGTTACCTTCGACCACGAAAGAAAGTATACTTTCAACGTATCTTTAAGCAGTAATCGGCTTGGCTCGATACTCACATGCGCCGGCTAGAAGCCTACGTCGGGCTGCTAACCTTTATTCGCGGCTCCATGCTTGCCTGTTATTTTTTTTTTTCTTTCTTTGAATTTCTTGTATTTTTATTGTTCGCGTTGCCACGATAGCAGTTGGTTCTATTTTTAATAGTAGATTACGTTTAAAATTAAAATCATGGTACACCGATCGATCGAATGGAAGTCCGTTAATCCGCGACGGAAACAGTCGAAGCAAGAAAGGTCAGAGAAATGCCACGGTTTGACATTATGCGCGCGAAATGCCGCGACAACACCCCTTTGAACCGTGTCTGACCAAGCAAGAACGAGCCGCTCGGTTTAGTTTTGAAATCATTGTACGATCGATGCGTGCTCGTTAATTCCGACGTAACGTTCGCTATCGAATATCCCTAGAATAATTTTGGCCAGCAAAATTAATTAATTTGATAATTTTGGATTATCGGGGCTCGGTTACGCGCCAACGTCTCTCACCGCGGGCATTTGGCACTCGCACATCCGCTCCCACTCCCTGAGATTCGTTAGTTTTCCGGAAAATTAGCCGGCATGATTTGCATCTGACATACACCTCCAGGCATCTACACGTCGCTCGCATAGTTCGCAACTCTGACTTTCAACTCGGATCTCCTCTCTTGCTAGATGTCTCAACGCCCCTCCGCAACGCTCTCGCGTCAATTACGCCCGTCACGGGACGAGGAGATTTCCGAGAGCTTCCTTGTTTCCGGTATAATGGATTCATTTTTTAGGAATTATAGGTTCGCGGGAATCGCGGGAACGCTCCGGTGTCCGTAGAAAACAACGATCGGTAGATCGAACAAACTAACTACCCCTGTGTCTCGATGTTTTTGAGGGACTGGACGACGATCGTCGATGAAATATTTCGACCAAGAGACGACGCGCACATATTCTCGGCTTCTTGATTCTTCCGGCGATTATCCTCATCCGCAGATTCAGCGAGGTGTTTCGACTTAAACACAGACTCGAACGAGTTTCAGCTTAACTTGGTTGTTGTGAATAAGTAAGCGAAGTGTTGCAGAAGTTTAGCCGAGACCCCCAGGCACAGACTCGGGGTGGCTCGAATTAAATTGTTATACGGATGAGCTGCCACGACGAATACTTTGCAGAAACCAGCGACTTTCCCGCCACCCTTGGTTCTGAATGTTTAATCACTGTCTCTCATTAGATTTAATAAAATAATACCGGTATTATGTATTAAACTACACCGCGGCTGTGTACGCGCGATAGCGGTATTTTCTAACGAATATTGTATAAAGTAAAAGAGTTTATGTTTCACGAATGAATTTAATATCTTTATACATCTTACCTGTGATTGCATTGTTGGCAAGCGAAACATTCCAAGTGATAGACGTTGGTTCTCGCCCTCATCACTAGCTCGACGGCCGGTATCATTTTGTTGCAAGCCGCGCAATGGCCAGTGTTTCCAAAAAGTCTGCGCAATCGAGAAACAGGTCGAGTTTATTAATACCATTCCGATAAAAACTCGGAGCACGGTTTCTCGATGATATTGCTTTTCAGTCTGGCGTAAAATTAAACAATTCGAAACGGCACGGGCGTGGCGCGGCGCGACGCGGCGAGACGAGACCTACGGTGACCCTCTCGCATCGATGACATTAGAGAAAAGTTTTAGTTGGCGTACAACGGGAACCAATAAGCTTACGGTCGCCACGAATATGCTATCTTCAAATATTGGGCCATTAATAAAGGCCACGGAACTTGGATAGCGAGCGCTCTTTGCAGACGCGCCACCTGCGCTCGTTCCCTCGGGACTTTGTGATCTCAACGCGGTTTATTTGCCCTCGCCTGTTTATACGGGACGTGGATGTATTCAATAAGGGAAACTCATCTGTAAAATTCGATTTGTTGGTTCCGTTCTCCTCGCCAGGACCGGTTCGTGCGTGCGGTTTACCCTCTGTATTACTCTTCGGTGCTTATTGGCGTCACGGGGAACGTAACGAAATGAAACGTTTAAGTACTTTGAGAAGAATGGAATTATTATTTTGCGACATTATCGACAAATCGATGCTACCGATGTTTCTATTGTCTGGCGCTCAGCGACACAGAGAGATCACGGAACGATAAACTCACCTTAGATAGTCCCTTTTGCACAATATAAGGTTGGTTTTCGTGTACAGCGTCGAGCCAACTTCGACGAGTCTGCACGCGCAACAGCTGCATTTTAAACAGTCTTCGTGCCAGAACATGTCCAGCGCTTTCAGAAGGTACCTGTAACGAAACGAAATATTCGTTTGTCTCCTTTTTCCCCCCCGCGAGAAGGTGTACAAATCAATGCGATCGATCGAGCAACCCTTTACCTTTCTGTAATCACTTTCCCACAGCCTGCGCATTCCTGTTGAGCAGCTCCGTTCTTGCTCGGCTCGCTTTTACTCACATCCATCGTCATTTTATTACTCGTTAGATGTGTCTCTCGTTACCTGAAACGTAACAAAATTCGTAATTGATTATTAGGACCTGACACGAACAGCAGAAACGATTAATACAGCCAATTAATACGAACACAGAATTATTATATTGCATCGAGGAATTAATTTACGGTGCCGATTAGGTTGTACGGTAAATCAACGTCAACAGGATCGAATGAGTAATCGCGTTCGCGTGCTTTTAACAAGTTCCGCCGGCATCTGGCACTAGAACGGTCGGCTCGTCTATGAGCAATTAGAGTTACAGGTTCAGAATTTAACGGCGCGGTTAGTGCCATCTGTGTCCATCCTGAGCGGGGGTGGTTTTTCTCTCTTCCTACTCCCATCGACCACCACCACCGTCTCTTTCTCGCGATGCGGTCAGAGTTTAGAATCGAATTAGTTTGACCCTCTCTCCACTTATTGCGCGTTTAAGCGCCACCGGTTCTGAAACAACCACCGGCTTGTCGGGTAACGGCTGTGCGAGCTTCCCGATAAACATTAATTGTTTTCGCCCAAAGACGTATGTATGTGTAATCCTACCCCGCGCCCCATTTAAACCGAATTTTCGAGGGTTTAACGTTTATTTAATTGCCATCGCGCGCTTTTCGCTCCTTCGTTTCACTTTAGTAGCCAATTATCTTTATCCGTATGAAATATGAAAGCACGTTACTTTTTTCAATCGCGAGAAATTATCCAAAGTGTCGGGAAACAAAGCGACGACAAAGCAAATTTATTTTAAATAACAAAAATTGTACGTGCTCGGGATTAGAAATATTTTTGAATTTAGCTAGAACCATATTGGAATCCTAAACGAATTCTAATTGAGGTATCCAATTAGAATCTGATCGGTGGATTGTTACACTTCCGATTAGATCCCAATTAGAGAACGAGAAATCGGAACCGATCCCAATCTAGAATCCAGCGATATTTCCACGCGTGAAAATGAATTCAACTGTTTAAAAGTACCTTCCTAAAATTTTATTTTGAAATTTGATAAGATAACATAGTTATGGAACGATCGATAAGAAGAACAAGGCGTTTTTTCGCTTACAATTAGACTCGAATAGCGTCTAGTAGAGCGTTCGATCTTAGCCACCCGGTATATTTACGAGTACCCGTGGATGCTATGAGCAAAGTTTGTGCGGTTTCAATATGTTCTCTCCCCTTAGCCTGGACACAATATTACAGGGACGTTAATATCTTCTATGCGGTTGAGACTCCGAAGCAAATATTAATATCGAGCCTTTGATACGTTAATTATTAAAGACTGAAGTATTAGAAACTCGCGGATTCGTGGACGGTTTCGTCTTCCCCTAGCCATGTTATCGGAAACGATAGGACAAACGAACGCGAGGATGACATTAACGAAGTTCATTGCGTCACATTTATTGTGTACTTTCCAGACTATCGATACGTTCAATACGATATAAATTATTGTATAATTATTATTCGTAAGCGCATACTCCTACGAGTGTAGTGATTAATGGAATAACCAACTAGCCGGGTAAATTATGCAAACTATTAAATCCGAATGGACGCAAAATTTCCCACATAATAATCGTGCAGCGATCGAATGCGTCCCGATGCAATTTATGTCGGGGTATTAATATATTTTATTGTTACGATGGGTTGATTAAAGTCACCGTTAACACGTCAATTGGTAAGAACGAAAGGGGAGGGGAAGAACATCGAACGAGTTTAATAACTAAGAATTAACGATACGAAACGCGTTTCTCGCATCGTCGAAAAATTCATTGTCGACCAACGACAGTGGACACCGAATCCTTTGAGACGCGAAACGAGCATACGCGTATTCTATAACAACGGAAGTATTTTCGAGTTAGGTCTACAGGAATTCGGCCACAGAAATTCCTGCGGAAACCAACCTGAATACCAGCGACGACCTCGAAAACCTTCGCCGACCCTGTGTGGTCAGTCAATTTCCACTTTGTTCCGTAATTTTCGTGGTCGCGTAATCTCTTTCCCCCGTGTTCTCTCTCTCTCTCTCTCTCTCTCTCTCTCTCTCTCTCTATTATATCTATATATCTAGGTAGTGCATCGCCGACTCGTGCAGTCGAGCCGAGGCAAACAATAGGTACAAGTGCCAAACAATTAATTCGGTACTCAAACGTGTAACTTTAATTGGAATATTTACGCGCAATCTGATCGCTCGCGGTCGCGATTGTGCCGTAACACTAACGGCGATTATTCACCAATATCGCGACTACCTTTTCGTGCTTCGCGTGGCTTTAATTGCTCGGCAGAGAAGTTAGTATCGTCCAGAGAGGCCAACGGAGCACAGTGGAAACGGTTCGCTGGAACGTAACCGTGAAGGGTTCATAACGAGAGAGCCTTCCCTTCGAAAGCCGCTCGCATCGCTGGCGATCTGTTCATCAGGTACGTGATCAGATCATCCACGGACGCTGCTCCTCAAAGCGACGATAATTCGATTATCTCGTACATGTTCGACGACCACCGACATGTCCTCCAATTGATAGATCTTCTCGGTTAACCATCTTCATGAATGTAATTAAATTACTTCCACGTACTCTGTATCTTTTCGTTCAAACATCTTTCGCTGTTAGTCCAGTGACTGTCAACATTTAATTGTTTCACCGTTTCTATATTTCAGCTCAACGTTACAAGTACACGACGCATACGAGACTGGACGAACAACCGGTAACCGGTGCAACTTCAATTTAATTTATTTTCCTGTTCGACTCGACGTCGATATTTAGTCGTCGAAATTCTTAAACACGATACGTAGTTCCCGACCGATTTCCTTTTATGCGAAACTCGAGAAAAGTAGCTTCCTCTATTTATCGACGTAACTGGGCAGTCTCGATGCAGTTCTCAAGGCTCCGCCCTCGCAGAATCCGCGACACTCCCAGAGCACCACCCCCGCAATCTCTTCACCGGCGAAGCTAAATTTTTCCAAGTATCTTTCTTACGCAACAATGTTTACTCGAAATAGTTCGTTTCCATTGATATGTTTCTTCTTGGAATACCTTACGAACATTTTCTACGCGCGTAGGGCAGGCGTAAAAACGAACTAGGTTGGTTTGCGAGCGTGCCGCCTTTGTCTTTAATAATGCTCCCGCGGAAGCGTTATCTTTTACTTTTAGGACGAGAGTACTGGCATCCGGTGAGTCGGTCCATTAATTAGGCGGGCCACATTAAGCCGAGCATTAATATACTCCACTGGCTGTTTTGTTTTATCCCGCAGGAAGGACGTAACCTTCCCCGGAGGTCGAAGGGGGGTGGCCAGGCGAAAGCAAGAGGGCGAATTATTTCGACGGCGGCAGCTTGCTAATCCGACCTGCCATACTATCGCCTTATCCCCAGAGACTGTTTAAATTCTGTAAATCGTTCCGAATATTTCCCGCACCTCTCGCGTTAACCAAACACACGCGTCGCTGTTACGTCTTTCGAAGCGAGCAAAGAAATCGCCCGTGTTGTTGCAGTTGCGCGACAAAGGCAGTCTTATTAGTTTAGATCGATGCTCGTTTCGCTCGACTTTTGATCGATCTTGGTTTCCGGTGCAAAACCTTAGGAAACGAACGATAGACGCGTGTTTAGGTCAACCCGCAGGGACGATTGCGGCGGGGGTGACAGGGACAGGGGCAGGGACTGTAGGTAACGATGTAATTTAACGGGTGAAAGGAATATTTCCTACGGAATAAATCTCGCGTAACACCGCCAGTGAAATCCTCGTTTACCCGGTATTCAGCTCTTGCTAATGGAGGTAATTTAAGGGATGTTTTAAGCGGGCAGTCGCCTCTGCCGCACGTGAGTCGCACAAAAAGTTCACGTATTACGACCGCAGCCGCACCGTAATCACGCATTAGCATTCCGAACGGTCGGTGTCGACCGAAAGCACACCGCTTAAACTTTTGCGCAACGATGAAAAACCGGAGGACAGTAGCGCGAAACGTCCAAATTATCCGCGATTTAATAGAACGAAACAAAGATTCCGTCGCTCGCCTACTCTGGCCGGGGTTCCGCCGATTGTTTTCCAAGCAGTCCGTTGTATCACGTTGTTTTTTCGTACTCGCGAGATCGATAATATTAAGAATAGCAAATACAGGGAGAATACTTGACAAGGAAGCCATCCTTGCGGATAATTTTCATCCGCAGACCCTTAAGGACGACGGAAACGACGGAACGGACTAACGGTCTGTTTAACAAGTTCTTTCGCGCCGATAAACGCGCCACAGTGTCTCCACTCTTTTTCTGTTCATATTTGTCGTCCCCTTTCTGCCAGACCTCGGTTAATGAAATTCTAGTCAGGTCGTGGAATTCTTTCGTCAGGTGGCGATGCCACCTACCCCCGGTTGCGTTTTCTGTTTCTTTCTTTTTCTGTTCGCGTCGTTTCGTTTCGTTTCGTTTCGTTTCGTTTCATTCAACTGTCTCTCTCGGTATCTCTCCATCTCCCAGCCAGCCACTCTCTCTCTCTCTGTATCCTCTGCTGTGCCGCGAGAGGGTAGCCGCAGTCTTGTGGAGTACAGGGCAGGGGTAACGGGGTTTGCGTACGTCGTGGCGCGGAGGGTCGGTAGCTGAAATGGGGTGGTGTGCAGTCAGATTACGCTAAGCTATGCCCGTACGTGCTCGCATGGAAGTTCCACCCCTCACCGGGCTTGCCACCCCGCCTGGGAAAATGTATTTATTGTTGTTTGTCCAGCGTTCTGTATATGGCCATCGCCGGAGTGAGCGAACCGTGGAGGGGAGAGAGAATCACCCGAGGTTGAAGTTGAAAAAAAATTGCCCGGGGACGACCACTGTGATGCCGAGCATAAATTTAAGCGACGCTCACACCTCTCTGCCCAACCCTTCGAGGCTCCCTCGCGATCCTTCCTACTGTTTTTTGGATTTCAATCCAACCGTCCGTTTAAATACAATACATCTGGGATTAGACCGAAAAGACGCGTATTCTTTACCGAAGGTGTGGAGCTCGTCCTCGTCGTCGTCGTCGTCGTCGTCGTCGAGATAATCTCCAAACGGATCTCTCCGAT